TGTGTGTGTGTGTGTGTGTGTGTGTGTGTTTACACAGACACGAGTGCAGCAGATGGCTGCTGACCTGAAGACATTGAAAGCAGAATGTACTCAACACTGTCATAGCAACACTGCACTACAGAACACTTACACACAGGTAAACACACACACACACGAACACACACACTGCTCTAACAAACTGTTTCACAAGCTCTGTGCCACTCAGGTGAGTGAAACTGAACTGCATGAATGCAGAAAAGCAACTGAACTGGTAAAAATTTTCAGACTGTTTATTGATTAAAGGGCTCATATCCTGAGGAATCAGATTTACGGACATTTTTTGAGATCAAACAGTTTGCTATATTTCCTCCCCAGTCCAAAAAGACAGTCTATTATAAAAAAAACAAAATTATTAATATACTAAGCAACAAAAATGCTTAATTTGTATATCACATAATTTCTGTAGTGCTGAACCAGTATTACAATTCTGGCTGATACCTGACAAGCCAATTATTATTTTCTTGATATGGCTGATTTTAAAATTAAGACTCTGTAACTCTTGTTTTATGCTTTTTAAAGAGTTATTGCATAATGGAGCATTTAAAAACCGTGTGAGAGCAGCAAAGCATTGTTGGGCGTAGGGTGCAAAATGGTGACAAAACAAAATAATGGTTGTTTTTTGCAATGAAACTTTAAGGACTTTAAGAATAAATATGAAATAATAAATAATGCATGATATGACCCCTTCAACGAGTCAACTACTGAATATTTAACACTCTTTCTGTCTCGTTCTCAGGCGCAGAGGGAAAATCAGACATTAAAAGAGCAACTCTTCGCACTAAAGCAACAGCACAGAGACACGGTGAGGGATTCAAAGAAAGACAGTTGAAACCTATGAGCTGAATTTTAAAAAAGTTCAAAAGTTTTTATATTTTTGTGCGTAACAGAATGAAGTAGCTCAAACTCTGGAGAATGTCCTGTCGTCTCACACTCGTCTGCAGCAGAACACACAAACACTGCATGCAGAGCTGAGAGAAAGAGCACAGGAACTACACCCACTCAGGAGAGAGAGGTGTGTGTGAGAGACTAAGAAGACACACATCTGATTAGAGGAAAAGGGTCATTGCAACATAATGGGGGTACTCATTTTTTATGTTGCACTGGCAGCTGTCTTTGACTTGTGGGATGGATGTAGCATTAGTTCCCAAACCCATTGGAGAAGTGCTGTATTCACAGTCAGCCATGGGTAAAGAAATAGTTCAGACAAAAATGTCAATTTGCTGAAAATGTACTCACCCTGAGTTCATCCAAGATACGGTTTCAACATAACAGATCTGGAGAAATGTAGCATTGCATCACTTGCTCAGCAATG